TGTGTGTGTGTGTGTGTGTGTGTGTGTGTGTGTGTGTGGTTGCGTGTGCGTGTTTGTATATATATATGTATATGTAGAATGCACAGAATTTTACGAATCGTGTTTATTCATGTATCTGAGTATGTGGTCAAACAACCTGTTACGCACTAATATGCGCATAAGCATGTGTTGTCAGGTGTAGATTCGCACTCCTGCATACGTATGTTGGTCGAATAGTGACAAATGTAGAGCCGTACTATGATGCATGTATTCCTCTTTGAATTGGAGATAGTATTATCCCTCACATCAACCCCCCGAATAACTCTCCACGAAATTACTATCTGAATCTATCTCTGTCCGTCACAGGAGCACCATCGCACAGATTGAAGAGGATCGGGATGTGGGCAAGAATCCAATCCTGCCGTTCATCTCACTTGCTGTCAACAATGCATCCTGGGCTGTGTATGGCCATCTCATCGATGACAGCAACATTCTATTCGTCAGTCTAGTGGGCGTGGAGTTTGGGATCTACTACAGCTACGTGCACTTAGTCAACTCTCCTGCTGTGGTAAGTCTATTCTTTTAAGCTATTCCTTTCTGTGTTCAAATAGTTGTTATTTTGGTTGGTGTTTGTATAAATTATCCTGGAGGATGTTCGTATGTGCTTGATTTGGCTGGTGTTGGTATATTTAGATTTCCCATACCGCTTTATTCGTGCGGGTGAAGTGGCACTGAATAGACGTATGCTACTCAAGGTCTCCCACCTTCACTTTCTTTATTTGTTTCTTCATTTGTTCCCATTGGTTGCAATGTGTCTATGCTTCCGTTCGTAGGCGTTCACATGTGTGTCGATAAATTATGAGATGCAAACCAGAAGTGTCAAAAACACAAATCTGAAGTAAGCCTATGTGCTGGTATGCTCATATTTGGTGATGTCCGCAAGTGTGGGAAACGGCAGATTGAGCTATGTTTGCTAGTAGCCAAGAAATATGTTTTCTGTCTTGCCTGTATTTATGCAATCGATGAAGATTGATCACCGGAACAAGATTTTCCACAAAGCTGACACGCTCGTCAGATAGATAGTTCACACACACATTTCATCAATTCACTATAAGTGGAGGACTACTGGAACTTCCGATTATAGACACACTCAGGCTTCTGATTATAGATGGATACACTCAAACTTCGGCAATATATTTCGTGTCCGAAACAGATGCAAAAGAAAAGTCGATTCACGATATCTGTGGCGTGTCTGTTCTTCGCCCTGTTGGTGTTCACAATCACACATCATTATCCGCCGGAATTGTAAGTGTAGTCAATGCGAAATTGAGTATCTTTGCGTTGTATCTAGTGCAAAGTTTGCGCACATTGAAATGATGTTTATATTTCTATTTATACAGAGCTATATATAATAATTCCAGGTCAACGATAAAACTATAGTTGTATTTTCACATTAATATATATATATATATATATATATATATATCGTTATCTTTATCTATATCTATAGATATAGATATAGATATAGACAGATATAGATATAGATATAGGTATATCTATATCTATATCTATCTATATCTATATCTATATATATGTATGTGTGTGTGTGTGTGTGTGTGTGATATATACATATATGTGTGGTATGGGTGGTCGCTGCATCTCGTCCCATTACTTATTTCTACTCCTGAACACACACTCAGAGGTGCCACCCTATCATCGATTTTGTTTGCTTGCGTTTGGGTATTTCTCCGATACCATCAGCCCGTACTTAGCAGATTATCTTCCATGGGTTTAGCAATTCAGTATAGTCTCCAGTGTCTCCGCGGAACAGCTTCTGTTCGTTCAGCCATCGTTGTACTAGTCGACATGCGCCAAATTCTAACCTTGACCGATAGCGTACAATGTCCAGGCTGGGCTGCGGGTAGATTGTCTGTCGGTCTCAAGAACCAACATTGTTCACTACACACACAGGCAAGCGCGACAGATAGGAATCATCTGCTGCGCGTTGACTGTTGTGCAGTTTGGCTCTCCCCTCGTCACACTGGTATGTATTGCCCCACCACGACCGTCAAACACGAACATCTCAGTATAAAGTTGCTGCCGTAAGGCGTAAGCTGCGCCACTATTTTTATTTTTTAATCTCAACTGCCTTGCAGTGGGTGGGTACAAAGATGTTATCCGTAGCATGGACCATGGAGAGTACACATCGCTGAGGCTTTGTTGGGGAAGTGTTCAAGCTATATTGTAGTTGTAGATGCTATCGCTACCTTGTTCAGAAGCTACACGCACATACGCGCCTGGCATTTAAACAGTGCTCTTTCTTCTTTTGCGTGGTATTCTAATATGCTTTAGGCTGCCGATATGAATGCACCGGAACTCATTGAAAGCCCCCCATCTCGCATGTAGTCAATCTCTCTGTTTGTTTGCCCAATGACAGAAAGAAGTGATTTTATCAAAGACGACACAATCACTTGATTTCCAACGCACGGTGGCATCGACTCTTACGACAGGGATGTGGTTCCTATATGGCTACACGAAGGCCGATGCGTTTGTCATGGTATGTACATAGGTGTCTGCGTTTGAATATGTGTCTGTATAAGTTCCCATTTTTCGGTACAAGTTCTCACATATGATATACGTTATTTGAATTGAAATATATGTTTGGTTGTTTTAAGTGTTTGTGATAAGAGACATGGTGTACATCTGCGTACAATATTCTGTGTATCTTCATCATTGCATTAAACACGCACTCCATGAATAGTGAGTTGTTGTGCTTGCCATTTGGCACCCTGCCTCTACTTCTATGCCACAGCACGTACACACACACATCATGACACATATATACCTACAAGTACGTCCATACACACATATGCGCAAAACACTTACATTCTTCAAATAACACGTGGTACAGCTTCCCAACGGCTTCGGAGCGACCCTCAGCTTGGCGCAGCTCGCGCTGTTCTGCATATATCCGAGCAGATCCCATCACCCACTATCCGACGCCTAGCCACGGCAGTAATGCACTTAGTAAGTGTGCAAATACTAAATGTAAGTGATTGCTTTGCTTCGGCAGCAAATTAAAATAAATCCGTGATATGATTGATCATTCCAGCGTCAAACTGTTTTAGTGCAAAATAATATGGTGGAAGATAGGATTGATTCTTCCCGTGTCGAAGTGTATTCTAAAGGTTTCTGAACATTCTTGCCAATGCATGATTTAATGGTGGAATCAGATAATTTAATAGTGGTTCGACAGATAATTAATGTATATATATCTATATATAAATATATATATATATATATATATAACCAACTTGCTACTACTGGGATATCACAAAGCTGCGACCTATGGGTTCAATTCCCCGATTTCCAAAAGTTTTCTGTGATAGCGTGTTGTCGCAGCGCTACCGAGTCCTAAGGACAAGGGGACCCGTGCCTAATAAGTTACAGTTTTGTGATATCCCCGTAGTAGCAAGTTGGTTATCCACTCCTACTACGGGGATATCACGATATATATATATATATATATGTTATGTATATGTATATATATATATATATATATATATATATATATATATATTATATACTAATACTACTACTACTACTATATATA